TTTCTTCAAGTCTTTGGACAATAATCATCCAAGAAGTTGAGAAAATGCCCAGAGGTGCTGCAGCAGCTCGGCAGAGAGGGCCCGCTGGCCACCCCACCCGGGGTATCTTGTGAGCGGACCTTGCTCTGAAGAACCGAGCGAGGCAGCACATCTAGCCTCCGTCTCTGCCTTGAGAAACATCTCGGTGTGTCTTTTGAAACATGGGCATCTCCTGTCATGGTATCCCTCGGCCAGAGATGGGCAGCTCTCACCACTCAGGCCCCAGGGATGTGGCCAGGAGGGCCAAAAGGGGGAAGGAAGCCATTCTGGGGAGAAGCAAGTCAACAGCATCTTGGCGACCTAAGGACTTCGGAACCCAGGCAGCCTCCGCTCCCAGAGTCGTCAAATCATTTGGGAACCCGAGCACCCATTCTCCGCACTTACTCATCCGGAGTATTTGTTAAACCCCCACATCTGAGATGTGAGCCGTGTGGAGGGAGTGAGGGCCATCCTTCCCCTCAGGGACCTTCAAGTTTGTTGGGTTACCGCCCATGTGCCCAGAGAAGGACAGCTGCTGTCTGCACGCGAGGTGCCCTTTCTCCCGTGAGCCAGAGAGATGCGACCAGAGAGGTCCATCCACCTCCGAGTGGGGGCTGCCACAGCTTTGGCCGTGCAGAGTCCAGAGCCCTTCTGAGCTGAGCTAAGCAGAGCCAGGAGATGCCTTCGGAGTCAAGATGAGCCTGTTCTTTCTGTGGCTTCAGAGCCCCATGTCAGAAGGCTGTACCTTTGACACATGGCCCCGGCTCCCCAGCTCCCGGCCAGGTGGCCTTTAGCGGGCGACCTCATCTTCCTCCCGGAGGGCTCCTCTCCATATCTGCACAAAGAGCCTCCCAACACTTGTGTTGTGGGTTGTGTGGTGAGGCTCAGTGAGGAAATGCAGAAAGCTGCTGCACTCTAACCTGCAGCAGGTGCCAACCATACCTGCAGGCTTGTTTCTAGACCAGGCCAGAAATAAGCTAACATTTCTCTTTAAACAGAGCACAAAGCAGGTATCTGAACCTGGATGGTACTTTCCTAATCTTTGGGGGAATTTGTCTTTAAATGGGCGCCCCCCCCAGGCTGTAACAAGTACAAGTCTTGTAATCTGCTCCTGACCTCATCACCTGAGCAGAGACATCTGTCCGTGGGCTGAGCATTCCAGGAGGCAGGGGAGGAGAAACACACAGATGGGGGGTTGTAGAGGGAAGACTGGGACTTGACCCTTAGAGAAAAAGTACTAGTGCCGTGACGAGGCTCGGCGTGCCTGTTTTCCCTGACACACGTGTCTGGCTTTGCAGGCTCTGGCAAAGCCTGCATTTGGAAATGCTAAGAGGAGCTGCTTCGATGGGACCCAGGCATGGGGCACGGCATAAATCCCACGCATTGTCGATGTGTGTGGGCAAGTTCACAGGCTCCAGGGGCTTGAAGTTTTCAGGAAGTGTTGGAGAAGCCGTGAACCCAAGTCGGTGCAGGGATGTGTCTGGTGACTGTCTGCCCAGGCCCTCTGATAACCAGGACAGCCTCCCACATGGAAGCCAGGTCGACCTTCCTGGCAGAGAAAGCCACCTAAGTTCTCCCAGAGCAGTGACCTGATCTGGAGGTGACCCTTCCATGCTGTCACTCTCATTTCCAGCTAGGACAGCTATGATAGTGAGGTCCTGTTAGCAACCTGGTCCTCCAATTTTGAGAAAAAAGCTGGCTATCAATTCAAAGAGAGTTGCAGGTGTTTTTTTTTTTTTTTTAAAAAAAATGAGCAGTGATGGGCTGGGGCTTGCCTGCTGGCTGAACCCAGTATTTCAAAATAGAGGCCCATTAAAGGTTTTTCCTGGGCCATTTATTGTGTCCTGTTATAATAAGAGCTTCTTTGCTGGGGATAATAAATGCCCTCCACAACAGCAAGTCTCCTGTCTTGTCAGCCATGACTGAGTCCCTTTGCCCTTTGATCTAATCATCAGCATAGGTCCCTTGAGCAGCCCATCTGCTGAGGAATTTTGTTCTATCTCAGTATTTGGAGAATCCCATTAGGGCCCAGCATGTGGGGCTGCAGGATTTCCATAAAGGTTTCATATCATCTCTGGAGCGATAGAGACATCCTGAGGTTATCTGATAGGTTTTAAGCCACTGTCTCTTCAGACTTTGCCAAGCTTTGTGGTCACTGTGCTCCGGGCTTCAGGCCACCTTGAATGTTCCTGTCCCCAGATGACTGATGGCTTCGAGGCTGTCTTCGCATCTGGACATTTTGGCAACTCCTGGCATAGCAGTCACTCCCAAAGGACACGCAAGGGAGCAAACCGCAGGCAGCGTCCCGAAGAGCCCCTGCAAAGGAGCTTTGGAAAAGAGAAACAGACTCTCCCAGGCCTGACAGATGCTTTCGAAAACTCCAAGAATTTCTAAAATAACTTGGCATGAAGTTAGGGATCCAGTGACATTTATCTGTTTCTTATTTGGGGGTCTCCAAATCTACATTTCTGGGCAGTAAGGTTGCGGGGCAAGTGAGTATTTCCATACAAAGGCGAAGGCAGTCCTGGGTCAAACAGCTGCGAACGTTCGGAAATTCTTGGAGCTCCCCATCTGATTGCTCCTGCATTTTTGTTTTTTATTCCCCAAGCAGACACTCACTGTGACCCAGATCTCTTGGTGATTCGGGTCAAGTCATGTTTAAGCTTTGAAGATTAGAGACACCAGAAATGGCCACCACTTCCTTTTCTATTTTCTTTTAAAAACTTTAAACTTTAGAAAGTAAAAACTTGGAAAAACAAAACTTGAACAGTATTCTGAGTTCGCTAGAGGCATTTATCCACATTGCTGCCACGTTAAATGTTAGCAAAGTTTATATTGGATTGTCATATTTCTTTACTTTATTCACCAGCATACAAGACGTCAATCTCAACATCTGGTTTTTAATAATTCTCGACATCTGGGAGCTCCTTTCTGTCCCGTGGTGGACAAGGCGTAGTGATATTGGCAGTGTATATTTTCAAGCTACAACTCCTGTCTGTTTCAATCATAATTAATTACGCCTTCTTCATAGATTTAATTTGCTGAAAGTGATTTGCATCAAACCACATTTCACTGTTAAGAAAATAGTGGTAGATTTTGGGGGCAGTGGCTTTCTTTTTTTTCCTTCTTTCTTCTTTTTAAAATGTAAAAGCAGATCTGAACCAAACTGAGTGTACCTATGCTGTTGGGTTTTAAATGCAAAATAGAATAAACTGCTCTTCAAGGAAGGTGATTTTACAACCATTTAGAAGTGGTAAGCAGGGTCCATAAGCTGCATTTTAGGGGAAACCTCCTATTTCGGTTCTTGACTTCGGCAAATCATAGCATCTCTCTGTGCCTGGAGTCTTCCTACAGCAGTGACGTTGATGGTCAAGAACCTTTTAACTGAATGTAGGGCCCTCCATCCAGAGAAAGTACTGACGCATCTACCCACAACATTCTGCATAGACTTTCCAGGGATTCCTAGGTCCCGAAACCCATTTATGGATGCCTGAGGGTCCCATGCTGTAGACTTGACTCCTTTATCAGCATAAAAAGGGACATCAACTTTGCTTTCTCCAGGAACTGAGGGGAAGTTTAATGAATGTAAAATGGGTATTTCTCAAATTAGGTGAGGAAAAGGGAAGTTTATTGCCAGGAGTAATATTTATTTGTTAGTAGACTACGTAGTGATAAATAAACACAGGTAAATTTTATATAAGAAGACCCAGCCAAAATGTACTTTTTTTTTTTTTTGCAAGAATATTCCTATGATAACTGTCAATGCAAATTCATGCTGAGTTGTCTAATTCATACTCTGCAAATCACTGGATGACTCAGACCAGTTGGGGACTGTTAACCCTTTGTGGGCCATAGACTACTTTGGTAAGCCCTCGCAGACTCCATATGATTGAACCTAATAATACAACAGCTTATGCAATAAGAATCCAAATAGTTGGAAAATGCTCCAAGTTATTTTTTTTCCCCTCTATTTCTGGTTTTCAAAATAAAGAAGCAAATCATGGCAAAACCTGGTTTCATCGGGGACTTATTCTAACACATAGCATTCAAATTATGTGTAAGACCAGGATATAAACCATTCAGTCTTCCACGCTTTGTTTCCATCCTTGCAGCAGAAAGTGAGAATTCTTATTAAAAAACAGGACCTTGTAATGGCAGATACACACCTGCCTTCAAAGATTCAGTTTTCTCTGCCCATTGGGCATTTCACTAAATGAGGAAAGTGGGTGAGCCATTCTGGAAATGTTTTCAACCACAAGAATTCAGACCCAATAAATTTCAGTTTATCCACAATGGAACACAATTTTAAGTTAAACAAAACTTCCTTTCTACAAGCATTCTACCGAATTGAAAGTTTACTCTGTCTTTGAAACTGACTTGATTGCAAACGTGCAGTCATTCTCTGACATGCACATCCTCTTTTATGCTGAGAGTGAAATGGAACCTGACAAATGGAGACAATCACAGCGGGTCTGAGCCTTTGTGAAATCACCAAGGGGAATGAGCACATGCTACCAAACTTTTTTTTTTTAATTCTTCTTCAGCTTTCATTGATTCATTAAGCCGAAGAGAAATTAAGGGTATTTGATTACTATAATTACTTCTCTGCTTACTTAGAAGGTTTAATCTACTCCTTAGGCATATGCAATGCAGATTGCATGCATTCCCAAAATATAATCATCTGCTCATGTAGACTAATTTTAATCTTCTGATCCAATCTTGACACCAAGTCCGAGCTGGGTGGGTGGAATGTTTTTGTGTATGGGTTGCCATAGATACAAAACTCAGTTATGTATTTGATAAGCGGGTCATGTGGAACTTAAGTTACTATGGATTTTTTTTTCCCCCTCGATCTTTAAGATTAAAATACACAACGTGAAGATCGCTGTGCCTTCCGCTGCCTCCGGTGTAACTAACCTTCTCTTCTTTCATTCCGGTGCACCCCTCCTCTCCGCGCACCTCCCTCCCCGGGCCGGCCACAGGATGACGAGGAGGGCATATGGGCATAGCCGGGCCTGTAAACCAAAGTTCCAGTTTTGTTTTGAGGGGTGAGAAACCATCTTTTATATCATTTTTCTTCTACAAATTGCATTCTAGTGTTGTATTGTGTGCGTGCTCGATTGTGTTTGCTGACGTCTGTGACCGTGCCTTGTGTCTGCTTCTGTGCACTGTGACTATCCCCGGGAGTTCCCCCCTCCCCGCCTCCCCTTCTCCCCAAGCATATCATTGCCCTGCCTCACTGGGGCTGCGCTGGGCATGATTCAAATGTCTCTGTGTTACTTAAGATGAGAAACAACACCCTCACTAGGATTTATACACACTTTCTAAGGCATGATCGCAGACCCAGAAATTGTCACAGTTTTCCCGTCGTGGTTTTCAGCTCACTGCCTGCTTTCACCAGCTATGCCTGTGTAGTGGGACTCTCCCATCCTTCTGGCAGTGTCAGATGTTTGACAAGGAATAAGGAAAATAAAACTACCTTCATGGAGCTGAAACTAGGATGTCTGAGAAGCCCCTTCATTGGGCTGTACCATCTTCTCTATGGCAGTTACGCAGAAAACACACGGATGGATGCCTGGTGATGGTGGCGAGGTAACCGTATGTCTTTACAGGAATCCGATGAGAAGTACTGGTGTGGGCCTGTCTCATGAGGGGCCTTATATCTGTTGCCTTTTTACACTTACGCTTCTATGAAGGTTTGCATTATAAAGTTCTTGCGTTGTGTTTCTGAGAGGGTGTTGCTCGCGTAAAGGCTGATTTTTAGCTGTGAAGAACCGGCCGTGTATGTCTGTGCTATCTGCATTCTCATGGAATATGGCCACATGGTTACAAACGGAACATTGAACTTTTGCTGCAGGCAACCACGCCTTTCCCAGGACCCTGCAGGCTGTTTTAACACCAACTCACAAACTCCCCATGGTTACCTAGAATGTTTTGCTCAACCTGATGACATTGTAAATGCCATTTTGTTCAGAACAAAGAATGTGGCGTGGAGATTTTTTATGGTTTACAAGTATTCAACTGCGTAGGTCTTTTTCTGGAGCAGATGTGAAATATCACAGGTCTGTGATCAGAGAGGCAGTTTCTGGGGTAGCTCAGCAGGTGTGCCCTTCCCCAGTCTCACCTCCGTATTACCTGACAGCGGTGCTTCGGGCCAACTGAACAACAGTAATGGGTGTGTTTTGCCAGCTGGTGACAGTTTCATTGGTGCAGTTCACTGCCGAGCCAACTGCTGTAATTCCCAGCCCGAATCATCCTGCCTGTTCTGGGCCCCGGGGGTAGTACAGAGGGGTGATTTTCAGGTACAGCCATCCTTCCTGTAGGAAAGATGTAACACCTCCGCCATCGGTTTCCCACCAGCATGTTTCCCAATCACATCAGACGATCTCCTCTCTTCTCCCTTTCCTGGGCAAAGGGGAAAACACTGCTGGGATTAACTCTTCCAGATGCAAGTGGATCTAAGCGTGAGAAGGCAGGAAAACCAGAGAAATGCCTAAGGTGCTGTCTGAGACACAGCCTCCCTATCTAGGGCACAGTTTAAGGGAAACATTGCATTTACTCCTACGGAAAACCTCCTAAGTGTAAATTGACCCAAAACAACATTAAATGAGAAGTGCAGGTTTTATAACATTAAAAAGCAAACCTGCAAAACCTGCCCACAACATGCGTGGATAGGTACGCAAAGGAGGGGGTGGAGCACCGTTTAAGTCTTGCATTCTGAGGTCATGCGTCATCTTGAGCAACACTGTCTAGAAGAAGTAGGATGCAAGCCACAAATGTAATTTTATATTTTCCAGCAGCCACATTAGAAAATAAAAAGAAATTGTTGTGGGGGGTAAAAAAAGGAGGTGGGGGGGTCTAAGAATTTGGGGGTGCCTTGAGAAATGTTGGTCCCATTCTAAGGCTTTTCAGTGAAGGAGCATCTTCTGCCATCACATTAGGGCGTGGGACTGCATTTCTGGCTCCCGAATAATAACAGTTTTTATTGCTCTTTCACAAGCTTCATGACATTGTACTATGCCATCCCCGGCAGACAGGCAGCTTGTGGGCCTCAGGGTGGAATTGGTGCCCAGGCCCATGCCCTGCTGAAGGCAAAGGACCATGGTGTTCTTCGTGAATTTCCCCAAACGCGATGTACCCAAAAAAGCAAACATCTTCTGAAAATTAGTCAATCTATAATCCTACTTTAATATGTTGTAATAAATTTTATAGGCTTCTGAGGAAAACGACTTATCTCTCTTTATGACTCCTTTAAACAAGTTTGCTAAGATATCCTCAGGCTTTTAAAACCATATCTTAAGGATTTAAATAATGAGATGCTGGGGGGAACCTTCTATTTTTGAACAGCCGCCGCATGTTTTGAGTCACATTACAATCTGTGGGGCCTAAAGAGACATTAAATTTATAACTAAAGATGGATAATAATGGCACATTAAAAATGAACTGTTTTGAATATTTTGATTTATGGCCCTCATAAAAGAAACATTACAAGACATTATTTTACTAGGCAACTGTAATATGCTTATAATACAACAGAAAGCCCTGACTTGAATCTGGTGTTTTTGTGCTGAAATGAATCATAAATTCAGGAAAAGTTGTTCCAAAAAAAATTACAACAAATTGGAATTAGCATACTACCCCAGAGAGCTCCTCCCTCCGTGCCCCTTGTAGATCCTAGCCTGAGTGGGTATATTTGTTTCACTGTGATCATTCAAGGGTGGTGTTTCCCGAGAGCAAAGTGAACCACGACATTTGCTTTTCTAAGAGTTTTGACAGCCCCTAGCGCCAGCCTCCCCCCCACCCCATAAACCTCACACTCCAGCCTGGCATTATCAGCGTGTGACCTGTGTGGCCCCAGGACCCTGTGCCTCACTCTTGGTTTAATGCTCTGCTGTCTGGAAATTCTTCCTTTTTGCACAAGGGACCCCACTATTTCATTCTGCACTGAGCCCACAGATCACATAGTCGGTGCCACTTGAATCCACTGTATGTTCCTGTACTCTGCCCCCAGCTTCTCTCTGCTCCTCTCTCTAGTGGCTCATTCCCACCCCTATTTTCTTATCCCTAGAATTTACCTTTGGCCTGCCTTATTTTTCTGGTTTTCTTGTGGAGGCTCCGTGAGAGCATGTTTCCGGCAGGCCGTTGCCCTCATGAGCACCCTTGCAATGCGTATTCAGTCAACCACCGTCCTCTCCCTTCCCTTCTGGTTGTGAAAACGTTCTCCTTCACTGCATTTTCTACCTTGCTTTGCAAAATACAGGCAAAGCAGCTGCTCAGTTCTTACTTTCCTTCAGGAAAATCCACTTGACATGGCGGTCATTTGTGTCTGTGGATAACTCTTCATCTGCATTGAATGGAGGTGCTTCCCTTGGGACCCCCAAGAGGCACTTTGGTCTGTGAGCCTCTGACGAGGTGGGGCCATGAGAGGCTAGACCCTGTGAGATCCAGTATTCCATCTGTCTCGACAGCTGAATGTTTGAGCTTTTATGTGAACTCTCGTAATTGAGCAGACACAGAAAACAAGATCATGTTTATTTCTCAAACTACTAGAAGGGAGTAAGTCTTTTTCGATTGAAAGCACATGCAAATTTTTAGAACCCCGATTCGTAAAAGTACAGATGTGGGCGTTAGCAAGTTTCGGCACAGGGCCGCAATGCTGGTAGACGCTTTCCGTTCAAATGAAGAATGCTCTGTGCCATCAGCACGTGGGCAGGGCTCCAGTGTGTGCAAGTGTGACACAGAGACTGAGACCCCTGAGGGGGGTGTTCATACACACAAACCATGCCCGAAGGCTGGTGGAACTCGCTGTCGCATCTCCTCGCAGGCAGAATGAGGAAGGAGATGCCGTATTGTGGCTGGAGAGTTTAAACCTTCCTGGTGTCCTCTTAGCAGAAAAGGTCTAGAAGCTTTGACCTGTGCTTGTCCTGGGGAAGGGAAATGCAGCGGCCAGGAAAAGACGTCACGGGAGCAGCCCTGGCCTTCCGGTCCCCTCGCCCGAAGCCTTGGTCTCCCGTGCCTCCTGTACGGGGATTCCAGCTAGCCGCTTTCATTCAGCCTGTATCTCTGAAGCCTGCCGAATGGGTGGACCCCCTCCTCCTGCTGCTGGCTATTAAGTTTTCTTTCTTTCATCCATGTATCCATTCAGTAGGCCATTTTTCACTCACTCATCATCCCTTTTCTCCTTCAATGGTTAAATTCTTTGTGTTATGCTGAGGAAGCAGTGATGAGTAAGACGGACACGGTGGCTCCCCTGCGGGTCTTACAATCTAGTTGAGGGAAATAGACCAGAAAGATTTAAATGGATAAAAACTTTATGCACTCTGATCATTGCCTTGATGGAAACCCAAACGCTGTTGAGGTGGACGAGGGAACCTGCTTGTGAATCTATCTCAGAGAGGATGCTCAGTGAACCCTGCGCCAGGGAAGTGAGTTGTGCACGGGGCCTCGGAAGGAGGCGAGTCGGGGGGTGTCAGTGCCGGGATGAGGGTTTGGGAGGTGGCCCCAGGCAGGAGGCATGCGGACGGCTGACGGAGGGGAAGAGCTTTGTGAGCAAGGGGGCCTGGGGACCGTGACCCTGTGCAGAAAATAAGACAGTGGGGTGAAGATGGGCAAGACGGAAAGGTGCCAGACCACACGAGGCCTTTTAGGCCAAGGTAGAGAGTTCCAATTTCAGCCTAAGAAAAATGAAAAAGTGGAAAGAAAGCTAGAGGCTCTTCGACAGGGCCCTGCCATGGTCTGCACTGTAGAACAATTCCGGCTGCTGTGTCGCGGGTGCACCACTGTGGCAGGAAGAGCAGAAGCAGGGCTGTCGCCTCGTTGGGAGGAATTGGTGGTGCTGCCCGGGTGGAGGTGGGGAAGATGCAGACAAGGGGATGCACTGGAGATGAAACCAGGCGGTGAGGCCCGCAGGCCGCGCACGGAGGGGTCAGAGGCCAGACCAGACGCCGAGCGCCTCCAGCTCCCTCCCCTGGGTTTCCAAGCTGGCCGGGCAGCTGGACGGTGGGGCTGAGCAGCAGGTCTGGAGGGCAGGCCTGACTCCCTTCTTTTC